AATCAGTTTATAAGTACTACAGTGACCTTCACCTTACAAGAGAAGGAGAGAGAGAGGGGACGAAGGAAGAGAGAGAAAGGGGAAGGGAGAGAAAGAGATGGAGGGAAGTAAAGCCGGAGGGAGTGATGAAGGGAGAGAAAGGGACAATAATTATTGATTCCAATACATTAATAAAACGTACAATTGATTTTTGTTTCCTGTCACATGATAAAAGATAGACCACACCCATTCCATCCTAGCAGCTGTAATGACTTACTGGTACAAAAACCAGCATCACCTGGAACAACACACAAACAAACATCATTAATAAAATAATATAATATTATCATTTTACCTATTATACTGTATTAAAATAATAATATACACACATTAACTGACTGACTGTGTTTATTATTAGGAGAAGAGACTGGAGAGGTGGAGTGGATCGGTAATAGAGTAACCCTCACTAAACCATCAGCAGGTCAATGTCAGGAAGTGATCAGTCAATTAACAGACAGTCATCAGGGCATTTACCTCTATCACTCATCACCTGATATTGTATACTTGATGATGTCTCAAGTACTAGACATAAGAACAATAAAGAGGATTAGTATATTTAACACTAAAATAACAAAAGATGTCATCCTCTCACTGTCTCACAAAATAACAAAAAATACTTCATTAGAGAGACTAGGGATCAGTGATGATTCCATCAATGATGATGGAGTCATTGCACTAACACAATCATTAATTAATAATAAAACAATTACTGACTTATATCTTCATAAGAATCCTGACATCACTTCAACCAGTGCTCAGTCACTAGCTGAACTTTTATTCTACAACCACACACTATCTATCCTTTCTCTCGAACGTACTAACATTGATACTGATGGAGTACTGGTACTGATGGAATCTCTCAGGACCAATAATACACTAAGGAGACTATGGCTAGACAAGAAACATAAACAAACTTGTTCTTCTTTACCTTATTATAAAACTATTAGTACCAGATTAGTCTTTGTGTAATTATTTCATATACATGTACATGTACACATTAGTTTATTAATAAATTATTAAATGGAAAAAATAATTTTAAAATGTACATACCGCCAGATTGACCACACCCCTCATACCAAGAACACACGTCCATTATTCACATGAGGGAAAGAGAGAGAAAGGGAAAGGAGAAGATAAAGATGATGTAAACACACTACAAGTACATGTACATGTCCATATAAACTTATACCACTATCAAACTGATGGACTCATCTTCTGGTGAAAACTAGAATACAATTACAGAAATTGATGAGTTTTAATTTGGCAAATTAGTGTCCATGTGCCATTGAGCATGTACATGTACA